TTCTGTATCCCTGATTTTAATACCATTAAAGAAAGTCTATGTACATAAATAAGTTCTCAAATTTTGCGAAAACCTCCAAGACTTTGCAATTTAGAGTAACCAAATATAGTTATTTTTATCAGCATTCTACCAGAATGGCAATTTGAAAAAGAATCTTTATTTTTGAGATCTCTTATAAATGCATATAATTCAATACGATCATATCTACTCCTCATTTTCTGCTTTCAACTCTCCCCATATTCCCCCAATTTCTCTTTCAACTTCTTTTCTTTCCTTTTTTCGAGAACCCACCAGGTCCAGTTAATACAGTTCATTTGTACGATGGTGTGGGGGCATTCACTGAAGCATATGCCACCTGTCAGTGGCCACATCCTGAAGAAAGAATGACTCCATCCTACAGCAACAATTGACCCACAATAGCGCCTCAGTAGAGGGCAGGGTCCAGAATGCCAATTTTAATTAAAGATACTGTCACTGTGAAAATGTCCTCTAATTTCCAGGCAGAAATTTGGAGGGCACTTGTAGCTCCCATCCCTTTGCTCCCATTTTTGGGCTGAATTAATCTTCATGCAGTGACCTGTGATTCTGCCTTCTACTTGTCCTCTCCTTTGCCCTTCAAGGCTGAGCAACCATCTACTTCTTCTCTGTGTCTCTGCCAAGCGTCCCAACTATCTTCCTGCTTCACTTGCATGTTTCCCGGCTTTTCCTTACATAATTTAACAGGAACTATACAATTGATTATTTTAGGGCTCATGCCAAAGCTAAGAATCTCTTAATTAATCAGTTGTGTAAGACTTAAATTGTCCCTTAGTAAAGTTGCTTAAGCTACACACACACACACACACACACACACACACACACACACACACACTGCCCACCTGACAGGCCAAGTCTACCTGAGAAGATTCTTCTTTTCCTACTTCTCTGTGGTCATCCTCCTCAGTATCACCCCTAGAAATGCCAGTTTGCAGTCATTTCCTCTCCCACAACCAAGGCTTCCTATCCCTCGAGTCCTTTTCCCATTACCTCTTCCTTCTCTGGGGTTTTCTTTCCATAAGGAAGACTCCTTCTCGTCTTTCAGGTGTTTGTGTGAAAGCTAAATTTTCTGTGAAGTTTTCTCTGATCATTTGAATGTCTTGTCTCTTGGGTCATTTGATTCTTTATCATATTGTATTGATCATTTTATTCATATGACTTCTCAAAATTCATAATACAGATTTGTTTCTCTGTTTTCTGATTTTTTTGTCACTTAGCTAATAGTGTTGTCTTAAGGGCAAACATTAGGTTGGATTCCTAGTATATCTATTGAGTACCTGGTATCTAGTAGAGTACATGACCCTCAATACGCACTTAAAAATACTTGAGAAATAAAGGTGATATTCAAACCCATTATTGAATGGTTGTAGAAGGAGCAGTTGGCAGGCCTGCTTTTCGTCCTGCCTGGCTCCACATGGCTAGCTTAGCCCCAGAAATAACAACACACAAATTGCATTCTTTTAAACATTGCTTGGCCCATTAGCTTTAGCCTCTTACTGGTTAATTCTCATATCTGGATTAACCCATTTTTAATAATGTGTGTAGTACCACAAGGTGGAGGCTTACTGGGAAGGATCTTAACCTGGGTCCATCTGGAGAGGAGAGCTATATCGTCTGCCTCACTTCCCTTCTTCCCAGCATTCTGTTCGGTCTACTCTGCCTATCTAAATTCTGCCCTATCAGGCCAAGCAGTTTCTTTATTAACCAATGAAAGTAACAGATAGACAGATGACCCTCCTCCATCAAAGGGTTTAAGATCAGATGGGTTCTTCATCATGTTCATTCCAAAATGTTCTTCAGGTTGGTGCATGCAGAGTCACGGTTAAGGTAGACTATTCTGACAAGTAAACACATATCTGGAGAGAGGACTGAGTGGTTAAGAATACCTACTGCTCTGGCAGAGAACCTAAGTTCAGCTCCCAGCACCCACATCAGGTGACTCACAATCAACTGCAAATCCAGTTTCAGAGAATTTCACTTGTTCTTCTGGACTTGAGCATCTATGTGCATGTGGTGAACATAAACTTACACAGGCATATATAGTTAAACTTTTAAAAGCAGCACAAACTTACTCTTTGAAAGGTTGTAAATTCAGCATAGGCCTCACTGAGAAAAAACAAAGTACAGCCATGTGTGCTCCCTGCTGTAGGTCTGGGAATATTTCACATTTTCACTGGTTCTAGTCCTGATGCTCATGTTCTGAGGCTCATGGTCTGATTTCTCTGATCTCAACGCCTCATCCCAATGTCCTTATCATGGTGCATATCTCATGCTCTCATTTAGATGTAGAGCTCTCACTGGCCAAACACAGTTTTTTTGAACCAAAAGATTTTAGCTTTAGAGGACATTAAATAAAATACCTAAAATCTTGAAAATACCATTTGCCTAGATTTATATCCCCTACATATGCTGATGTATTTTAGTGTCTATTGTGATCCCAAAATAAGTTCATGGGGAATTATCAAACATGGTTAATACATCAATGAGTGAAATTATTTATCTTCCCACATACTTGATTTGCTTTTCCATGACCCAGTGTGAAGATGATATATTTCCCTGATACGTAGCTTTGTATTTAGAATAGGTATTTGAACATACATCATTTGTTGAACTGGTAAGCATTTGGTACAAGTTGTATTGCCAATAGCATCACTAAAACCACTGTAATTTTGTTGTAGTAAATAAGCACATCATGGGAAAATATTCATTTTTAATATTGCTATGTGAATAGGTCTCACTTTTTCATCACCAGTTAGCTTCAAAGTCAAGACAAATAGAAAATACTGGTGAACATATCATTTGCTGAGTCATTGCTTCTTCAATTGCCTAGACCGGTTAGACATCCATTCACTTGCAAACCGCATTCATCTTCTTACAGTTTTCGAATAATAATTATTCTTACTGATCTGATCATTATTATAACTGAACATTTATTTGTATAGTACATAGATGGTATATATATATATGCATATACACATGTAATCATATATAATTGCCTATGTCATCTATTGTACAGTCAAATATAGTGACAGGTATCTTGCATGTATTATTCTCATTTTCATGATAAAAACACAAAATTGACATTGTCACTATCATCACCATTCTGAAAAGAAGATGCTAAGGCCAATGGGGATGTTAGAAAGTCACCCAATAAGTGTTATTGTGCTCGAGTTCTCTGAAGGAATCCTCCAGGCAGCCCTTCCTCTGCCTGGATTCATCTTCCTTACTGTGAAGAGTCATGGCCCATGCCCAGAACAAGAATGTCCAACCTGAAGGGAGGGCAGATAGTCGCCAAGTAACAGAAAGAATATTTGGAACTTAACACTGGAGCAGCAGCACCTGGAGACCGTCCAAGGCCCAGAGGAAAGGCAGATTGCCTGGAGTCATAACAAGCCTTTCCATGATGCTGATCATATGCCCAGCATTAACTTCAGCTTTGTTCCTTGCTCAACCAATCCTCACAACAACCACACGGGGGCTATGGTGACTTAAGTCATCTTATAAACAACAGGAAGCAGAGGCCAAGAGAGTTTGGGAGATTTGCCTGAGGTCACAGAGTTAGGAAGTGACAGACTAGGATACTGAAACCCAGACAAATTTAAGTACTTTGCTTCTCCACAGGTACCAGTAGCTTCAACACATGTATTGTCTCATTGAATCCTGTTCTTTACTGGTTGCCAAGTGTCAATAAATCTCGGGTTCCTTCTAACCATGTTAAATGCCATAACCATTACATTGTGTTGTTTCATTACAGTAACTATCTCCCAAGCGGCTATGAGCTGCTTGTCCCATCTGTGCCTTCGCAAGCTCTCGCTTAAGCTGATGGGCCACAGGCATTCAGCTGCTCTCCCCTGCAGTCCGTCTTTACTCATCGCCACTGTTTTAACCAGTCCTGGAGTTTCGCTTCTGATGCAAGGTTTACAAGGGAGCCATAATCACACAATTACCCTTCACCATGCAGTGCTGACAATGCAGTTGTCTGTCAGCAAATGACCTGAGCAGCTCCTGCATGGGGTTGTCTGGACCACACTGAGCAAAATCAGGCTGTTCCTACGATGCCTCTAACTAGAGGAAAACAATAGCGCTGTGTTTGTCAGATTACGAGGATGCTTTTGTCTGGCTTTCCTGCTCACATACTGAGATCCAAACATGAGCTGCAGAGGAAAGGGGAATTATCCAGAGACAAAATGCCTTTGTCCTACCTTTTTTTAAACTAAAAACAGTTGAATGTGTTTTGCAGAGGATTCTTGAAAATCAATTAGAATAGGTTTTCATGTCTTCTCCTGAAGAGTGTGTTCCTAATGTAACCCACAGGTTTGTCTCCCAAATAGAAAAAGGAATGGAGACATTTTATTTGGTCAGTGGATGAGGGAAAAGATTGACTCCCTGTGCTATGGTTTACTCAGCTAAAGCATAGGGCACCCAAGTGCCATTAATGCTGACTAGGTAAGGAAGACTTTATCCCTTTCTACTATTAAAAGAATGAAGCCTTCTCCCCAGTGCTATGAAACAGCTCCAACATACAGAGAGCCTCCATCAGTCTCTGGATGGACCCTGATGACAACTGGAGTAACCACCAATCCAATCACAGGGCATGGCCAGTTCAGGCAATACATACACTGCTGCCTGGAGTCTTAGCTAGGGCTATCCTTGTAGAGTCCTGGGAGTTGCCCTTGCATCTGGCTTCTGTTGGACCCATAATAGCCTCCCTTTCCAGTCATCTCTCTCAGCACTCTTTCCCTCCTCCCAATCCCAACCCAACCCCTGAAGTTCCCATGCCCACTCACCCCCAGCGAACCCAGGAGATCTCCTCTATTTCCCCTTCCCAGGAAGATTCATGCATCCCCCTTGGGCATCCCTTGTTACCTACACTCTCTAGGTCTGTGGATTGTAGCATGGTTATTCTTTTTTTGTTTGTTTGTTTTTTGTTTTTTAAACTTTTAATGATGTAAACAAAAATATGCCTAAAAGCAAAGCTTCTGGAAAAACCATTTGATCTTCCCTGTCTTGTATCGTTCCTCAAATTTGACCTTGGCTTCCCGCCCTGCTTTGTATTTGACAACAGTTTTGTCCAGGGGGATGTCCACAGAGTACCTTGTGAACATCAGGTGGTTGGAGTTATAAACCTTCACAAAGGTCTTGATCTTGGATCTCTTGGCAACTTTCTTCTTGCCCATGGCAGCCATCACGTTTTGAGGATAGCAGTCAATTCCAACCACCAGGGCATGGCTATAAGGGCGGTCTGAGGTGCCATCATCAATGTTCTTCACGATGATGGCTTTGCTTCTGGAGTAGTGTCCAGCCAGGATGAGCACCACTTTCCCGGGTTTCATGAACTTGCCCATTTTCACAGTGAGCAGCCGGTCCCCAGCAGAAAAGGAGCATGGCTATTCTTAACTTTATTGATAATATTTACTTATGAGTGAGTATATGCCATGTTTGTCTTTCTGGATCTGGGTTACCTCATTTAGGATGATTTTTTTTCTAGTTTCATGAATTCACTTTCTAATCTCCTGATGTCATTGTTTTTAACAGCTGCGTGCTATTCCATTGTGTAAATGTACCACATTTTTTTTAATCCATTTTTTGGTCGGGTGGCATTTAGGTTGCTTCCATATTCTGGCTGAAACTATGAACATAGTTGAGCAAGTGTCCTTGTAGTTTGATTGAGCATCCTTCGGGTGTAATGCTGGGTCTTGAGGTAGATTGATTCCTAATTTTCTGAGAACTGTCATACTGATTTCCAAAGTGGCCATACAAGTTTGCACTCCCACCAGCAGAAGAGGAGTGTTCCCCTTGCTCCACATCATTTCCAGTATAAACTATCATTTTTGGCTTTGATCTTAGCCATTCTGACAGGGGTAAGATGAAATCTCAGAGTCATTTTGATTCGTATTTCCCTGGGGGCTAAGGATAATAAACATTTCTTTAAGTGATTCTCTGCCATTTGAGATTCTTCTGTCGAGAAGTCTCTGTTTATGTCTGCACAACATTTTTTAATTGAATTATTTAGTTTTATGATGAGTAGTTTCTTGAGTTTACGTATATTAGATGTAGGATTGGTTAAGATCTATTCCCATTCTGTAGGCTGCCATTTTGTCCTATTGACCGTGCCCTTTTCCTTATAGAAGCTTTTCAGTTTTGTGAGATACCATTTATTAATTGTCAATCTAGTGTGTGTGTTCCTAGTGATCTACTCAGAAAGTTGTCTCCTGTACAGATGTATTAAAGTGTATTCCCTAATTTCTCTTCTTTCAGGCTAAGTGTAACTGGATTTATGTTGAGATCTTTGATCAGCTTGGACTTGGGTTTTGTGTAGGGTGATAGATGTGGATCTATTTGCATTCGTCTACTTGCCAACATCCAGTTATGATAGCACCACTTGTTGAAGATGCTTTCTTTTCTCCATTGCATAGTTTTGGCTTCTTGGTAAAAAATCAAGTGTCCATAGTTGTGTGGACTTATACCTGGATCTTTGATTCAATTACATTGATCAATGTGTCTGTTTTTATGCCAAAACCATGCTGTTTTTATTACAGTAGCTCCACAGTGGAGCTTGAGATCAGGGATGGTGACACCTCCAGCAGTTCTTTCATTGTGCAGGGTTGTTTCAGCTATCCTGAATTTTTTTTTTCATATGAATTTGAGTATTATTCTTTCAAGGTCTGTAAATAATTGTGTTGGGATTTTGATGGTGATTGTATTGAATCTGTATATTGTTTTGGTAAGATGACCGTTTTTACTATGTTAATCCTACTGATCCATGACCATAGAAAATCTTTCCATCTTCAGATATCTTTACTAATTTCTTCAAAGACTTGAGGTTCTCGACATATGGTCTTTCACTTGCTTGGAGTTACCCCAAGATATTTTATATTGTTTGTGGCTGTTGTGAAGGGTGTTGTTTTCCTGATTTCTTTCTTAGTCCTTTTATTACTTGTATATAAGAGGGCTACTAATTTTTTTGAGTAATCAGCTGTTACAGTGTTTATTAACTGTGAGAGTTTTCTGGTAGAATTTTTGGGATCACTTTTGTATACTTTTATGCCATCTACAAACAGAAATACTTTGACTTTATCTTTTTCAATTTGTATTGATTTGATCTCCTTTTGTTTTCTTTTTGCAATAGCTAGAACTTCGAGTATTATATTGAATAAAGAGAAAGTGGAAAGCCTTGTCTTGTTCCTGATTTTGGTGGAATGCTTTGAGATTCTTCCCATTTAATTTAATGTTGGCTTGCTGTAAATTGATTTTTTTATAATTATGTATATTCCTTGTATTCCTGAACTCATCAATACTTTTATTATGAAGGGTTTGTGGATTTTGTTAAAGGCTCTTTCAGCATGTAATGAGATGATTGTGTGGTTTTTCCTTCAGATTGTTTATATGGTGGATTACACTGACAGATATTTGTATGTCTAATCATTCCTGAATCTCTTGGATGAAGTTCACTTGATCATGATAGATGACCTTTTTTATGTGGTCTTAGATTCAGTTTCCCAGTATTTTAATGATTTTTTTGCATCAATGTTCATGAGGGAAATTGGTCTATAATTCTCTTTCTTCATGAATATTTGTGTGCTTTGGGTATCAGGGTAACTGTGGCCTCATAAGAACTTGACAATGTTCCTTCTGTTTCCATTTTGTGGGATAATTTGAGGAGTACTGGTATTAGCTTTTCTTTGAAAGTCTGGTAGAATTCTGAGCTGAAACCATCTGGACTTTTCATGGTTGGGAAACTTTTAATGACTGCTTCTATTTCCTTAGGGTATATAGATCTGTTTAAATTATTTATCTGATCTTGGTTTAATTTTGGCATGTGGTGTCTGTCCATTTCTTTTAGATTTTCCAGTTCTGTGGAGTACAGGTTTTTGAAGTATGGCCTAATGATTGTTTGGATTTCCTCAGTGACTGTTATTATGTCTCCTTTTTCTTTTCTGATGTTGTTAATTTGGATGTTCTCTGTCTGCCTTTTAGTTATTTTGGATAAGGATTTGTCTATCTTGTTGATTTTCTCAAAGAACTAACTCCTTGTTTCATTGATTCTTTGTATTGTTCTCTTTGTTTCTATTTATTGATTTCATCCCTCAGTTCGATTATTTTCTACCATCTATTCCTCTTGGGTATGTTTGGGTTTTTTTGTTCTAGAGTGTTCAAATGTGCTGTTAAGTCACTAGCATGAAATTTTTCCAAACTCTTTATAAAGGCATTTAGTACTTTGAACTTTCCTCTTAGCACCACTTTCATAGTGTCCCATAAGTTTGGGTATGTTATGCATTCATTTTCATTGAATTATAAGAAGTCTCTTAACATCTTTCTTTATCTCTTCTTTGACCCCAGTTGACAATTGTTTAGTTTCCATGAATTTATAGAATTTCTGTAGTTCATGTAGTGAAGTTCCTTTGTTTAAAATTGATTTTTTTGAGCTATACAGCTATACCTTTTTCTTTGCTCCCCTCCCTTCCTCTCTCCTCCACTTCAACCCTCTCCCATGGTCTCCATGCTCCCAATTTACTCAGGAGATCTTGTCTTTTTCTACTTCCCATGTAGATTAGATCCATGTATGCTCTCTTAGGGTCCTGATTGTTGTCTAGGTTCCCTGATTCTCTGGAATTGTGAATTGTAGGCTCTTTTCCTTTCTTTCTTTTCTTTTCTTTTTTTTTTTTTGCTTTAAGTCTAAAAGCCACTTATGAGTGAGTGTATATATTTGTCTTTCTGAGTCTGAGTTACCTCACCCAATATGAAGTTTACTCAAAAAATAAATCAGTGAAGTCCATCTTTAATCGATGGGGATCTGGTAAAATACAAGGGATTATTCTGATTTTTTTTTTGTATATGTTGAGGTTTACTTTGTTACCAAGTATGTGGTCCATTTTAGAAAAGGTTCCATGAGGTGCTGAGAAGAAAGTATATTCTTTTGTGTTTGGATGGAATGTTCTATAGCTGTTTGTTATATCCATTAGAGTCTGTTAGTTCTGTTATGTCTCTGTTAAGTTTCCGTCTGGCTGAGCTGTCCAGTGGTGAGAGTGGGATGATGAAGTCTCCCACTATTAGTGTCTTGAGTTTTATGTGTGATTTAAGCCTTAGTAATGTTTCTTTTACATATGTGGGTGCTTTTGTATTTGAGGCATAGATGTTCAGGATTGAGACATTCATCTTGATGGATTTTTCCTGTGACAAATATGAAGTGTCCTTTTCTGTCTCTTTTGGCTGATTTTACTATGAAGTTTATTTTGTTAGATAGGATAGCTACACTCACTTATTTCTTATCTCCATTTAATTGGAAAAGTTTTTTTACCAGCTATTTAATCTGAGGTAATGTCTGTCTTTGAGGTTGAGGTGTGTTTGCTGTATGCAGCAGAAGGATGGATCCTGTTTTCATATCCATTCTGTTAGCCTGTGTCTTTGTATAGGTGAATTGAGTACATTGATATTAAGATATTTTAATAGCCAGTGATTGTTAATTCCTGTTATTTTTTTCAGTGGTATTGTTTATGTGTTTCCCTTCTTTAGCGTTTGTTCTTGTGAGATTATTTGTTGCCATTGTTTTCATGGGTGCAGCTAAATTCCTTGGGTTGGACTTTTCTTTTTAGTACTTACTGTAGAGCTGGGTTTGTGGATGGATATTCATTAAATTTGACTTTGTCATGAAATACCATATTTTCCCCACCTATGGTTATTGAAAGTTTTGCTGGATATAGTACTCTGGGCTGGCATCCATGGTCTCCTCAGTCTGCATCAAGGTTCTTCTGGTATTTAGAGACTCCTTTGAGAAGCCAGGTATAATTCTGATAGGTCTGCTCATATGTGTACTTAGCCTTTTTCTCTTGCAGCCTTTAATATTCTTTCTTTTTTTTTGTAGGTTTAGTGTTTGATTATTATGTGGCAAGATGACTTTTTTCCTTGTCCAGTATATTTGGTGTTTTGTAAACTTCTTGAACCTTTATAGGAATATCCTATATCTTATAAAGGTTGAGAAAAATTACTTCTATGATTTTGTTGATTATATCTTCCTGGTCTTTGAGCAGGAATTCATTTATTTATTCTATTATTATTTTTAGGTTTGGTCTTTTCATAATGTCCCATATTCCTGGATATTTGTGTTAGGATATTTTTATATTTAACATTTTCTTTGATCAATGAATATATTTCCTCTATTTTATCTTCAATGCCTGAGATTCTCTTTTCCATCTTTTGTATTCTGATGGCAATACTTGCATCCATAGTTTCTGTTCCCTTATTCAAGTTTTTCTTTTTCAGAATTCCTTTAGTTTGTGTTTTCTTTATTACTTCTATTTTCATTTTCAGATCTTGAACAATTTTATTTGTTTCTTTCAACTGTTTT